CAGGTTGCCCGATGAACACCGGACTCCCAGTTAAACTTGCATGTCAGAGAAATAAGGAATAACTTTTTAGTACAACAGAGCATGATAAACACCAGTCGTTGTTGATCTGAAATTCAAATTTAACTGGGCATCTGTGTTTTTATTCGCTAAATCTGACGACCTCCCGGAATCCCCTTCTTTCCCACTCAGCCGGCTGGCTTCCCCCAGGCGCGGGCGAGGGACCTTTTTCTGTTTCTTGTAGCAGCTTCTCCTGGTTCGAGGCGGCTGTTCTGTGGGAAGGGGCCTTCTTATATGAAAAATAGCATTCCTTAAAACAGCCTTCGTAGGATGGGTATTATGGCGATTTCAGGGACAGGGAACATGTCGAGCGATGTGAGGAGGCTCACCTGGGTCCCCCCTATTGCGAGGCGCCCATCAATATGAGACTGACCCTCAGCGGGGCCCCGCTCTTGGGCCAGAGGTTTTCTCCATTAAGGTCCGCGGTCCCCTTCCTGTGTGTTATCTTTATGGAGCAGCAGCAAGAATCCGTACTCCGCCCCGCCCCCACCCTTTATTTGATCTTACTCCACTTGAAATGATACTGAGATGTCAGTGTAGTTAGTTTTGGTTTTAGAGTATATCCCATGGAAGGAATACAGTCAAGATATCGTGTTCCAAATTCAGTTGTGATCATGGTTTTCTCTGTGTGGTTAAGACACCCATGTCAGAGTTTTAGGTTTTTGGACTCCATTGACCTGCACACGCGCACACCTGCTTTCCCCACGGCGGTTGCTAATACAAAGGGTGGCATACGCTTTCTCCCCCTTGTTTTTCATTTCATTCCACGCTGTGTCCTAGAGTCACCCCCTGTCTAAAAAGACCTCCCTCATCTCCCTTTATATCTGCGCAGCCGCCCACTGCGTTGCTGTATCTCACCAGCCCCTGGATGATGACCTTCGGATGGGGTTCCAGTTTGGGCATTCTAAGTACTGGTGCAAAATAACCACGTGTATATTTGACTTCATCTTTCTGTAAGCTAGGGTTCCACAAGTGAGACTGGGTGGGCAAAGAGTAAATGCACGTGTAACTGTAGATGTTGCCAAATTCCTCTTCTTAGGGATTATTCCATTTTGTACTCTCACCACCATAGTATGGAGAGCCATATTGGGGTCTACGGATGAATCTCAGGAGGTCATTTTTTTTAAAAAAATTAAGTATAGTTGAAATATAATATTATATTAACTCCAGGTGTACAATATAGTGATTCCGGATTCTTATACCTTGCACTGTGATCACCACACTAAGTCTAGTAACCATCTGTCATGGTGCAAAGTTATCACAATATTATTGACTATGTTCTGCACCCTTTTCATCTGTCCCTCCTACTCTCATCTGGTAACCGTCAGTTTGGTCTCTGCTTCTGTGAGTCTGTTTTTGTTTTGTTTTTCAGATTCCACATGTAAGTGAAACCATATGATATTTGTTTTTCTCTGTCTGAACTTACTTCACTTATCATTATACCCTCTAGTAATTTGAAAACGTTTTTGCAAAATGTTAGGTGCATTTGTCTAGGGACAGGTCTAGACACACTGGCATTCTACCCTCTATAATACTCATGCCTGACATATAATAGGTACTCAGTGTCTGTATGCATAGATATTGCTATATAGATAACTATAGATGTATATCTATGTATATAGGTAGATATGGATATGCCAAATGGGAGGGGGATTAGGGAGCTGAGTGAAAAAGGTTGAAGGAATTAAGAAGTACAAATGAGTAATTACAAAGTTGTCACAGAAATGCAAAGTACATCATAGGGAATACAGTCAATAATATTTAATAACTATGTATGGTGCCAGAAGGGTACTAGAGTCCCTGGGGGATCACTTTGTAAATGATATAATTGTCTAACCATTATGCGGTACACCTGCAACTAATTCAAAATAGTACTGACTGCCAACTATAATTGAAAAATAGTATTTTATATATATCCAGCAGAGTGTGGATTCCATAAGGATAATTTGAGGGTGATCAGTTTTTTCATAGCATCTGAGATATAATGGTTGCCACATTTCTTTCTTTTAAAAATACCTGGTTTAAGGTTATCCCTGTCCATCTTCATAACTGATAGACTGGGAGAGTAGAGAACTCATGCATTTGCCACGATGGAGAACCGGCTGTGTCAGCCTGTGATTCAAACACTCCTGGAGGAGCTAGAGGAGCTTGTCACTTAGTGGGAGGACAGACACTTGTATAGACAGACAATTCTCAGTGTGTGATCTGCTTGGGGAAGGAGGAATGTCTGTGCTTTGCTGGGAAAGCTCAGGGAAGGAGAGATGGTCTGTTTCGTGCAGGTGAGGAGATACTGTCGAAGCTGAGAGGGAGGGAGGCATCATCATGTACAAAAGTCATGGAGATGGCAATGTGCAAGATGAGATCAGCAGAATGGTGGGGTGTTCAGTGTAGCCAGAGCCCAGGCTATGTTGGGCAGAAGAGTTGTCTGGAGGTGAGCTTCAAAGGTGTCAGGAGCCTCATATGGTATTCTCTGAAAGTTTAATTTTTTTATTCTTTGGACTTGTCAATTCAAGAAATCTTTTGTTTTTGTTTTTGTTTTTGAGGTGGACTGTTGTGATGTTCTCTAAAAATGATTCCCATGGCCTGGGAGGAGCATCTTAGTACAGACATTAGGGTGATGACTCTGGAGTCAGGAGTTGGGTATGAATCCCACCTCTCCCATGTGCCACCTGTGTGGTCCTAGACTCTTCACTTAGGCTTTTTGTGCCTGGGATTCCTCATCTGAAAAATGACATCCATTTTTTAGGTATGTTGTGAGGATTAGGTGAGACATACATTGCTTGGCACAGAGTCCTCTCACAATCAATACTGACAGTACCCCTCTTCTGCTCTTGGACTTGAGGGCTCTTCGGGATTTTAAAACTATTTTAGTTGTAATGACTTCTGTGGAGCCTTTTTTGGGAAACCATTAGAAGGTTCCAGGGGCCAGCTTGCTTGTGCCATCATGATGTGAGGTGCCCATGACTGGTGACAGGATGGAATGCTTTGTTGGCCTCACTGGACTCTACTTTTATTGTGCCTTCATTGAAAATTTCCGGCATTAATGCAAAAACATCTTTTAGAAGTTTGGAGTTAGAAATGGAGTCAGCATATCTTCAAAAGCACCTTGGGAAATGTCTAACTCAAGGTCTTGCGGAAGTGGCAAAACATCGCCCAGTGGACCCAATAGAATATCTAGCATTGTGGATGTATAAGTATAAGGAAAATGTGACCATGGAGGAGCTGGTAAGTAGGGATCTTCTTTTAGAAATGTAGAAGAGTAAAATAATTGGTCCCCTTTGTCTGCTTTCTAAAAGAGTTTGTTATTATTGTTTTCTATTATAAAAATAGTGTGTTTATTTCACAAAAACTTGGACAACATGAAAAAGTAGAAAGGAGAAAATTCCCAAAGATGACCACTACTTATATTTTTAAGTATTTCTTCTAGTCTTTTTTCTAAACATTTGTCTGTAGATTATTGTACATAATTATGATTCTATTCAATGTATAATTTTAACTCTGTGCTCGTTATTCAAATAAAACACATATTTTCCCAAATTATTACACAGTTTTCAAGTAAAACACAGACCTTCCCGCATTATTATACAGCTTTCCCAAATTATTAGACAGTTTTCAAGAGACTATACTTTACTTAATCCTTTCCCAACTGCTGGTGATTAAGATGCTTTCCAAATTGTTTTTGCAAGTGGTGTTCATTAGCCATGGGATTCTGTTTTTAAACAATGCTAGAGACAAAAGGAAATGGCCGACCTGCAGCATGAAAGGGAAGTAGCCCGGCTGGAGCAGGAGCGGCTGGAGAGGCTCAAAGCGGAGGAGCTCATGTTTCAGCAGGTGAGAAAGTGAGAGAGCCAGAGGCCACGGAACTGGCCCTGCCAGCCTCGGCGTGGTGCAGCCCACGTGCTGAAAGACTCCCCACCTCTGGTTACTTCCATATGGTTTTCTTATATCTTCATCGCTGTGCATGCGTTGTCTTCGCTGGAGAAGCGGCAGCGAGGCAGGAGGGAACCCAGAGAGCGGGCTCTCACGGAAGCCAAGGGGAGAGGGTCTCAGTGAGCCCTCTGTGCTCAACCACCTGTTGGCTGGTTGAGTGGGACAGGACCTCAAAGTGCTCACTCAAGGCCACTAGTGGGACTGTGGTGGGAGCAGTGTGGGTGGGGTGGGTATAGCAGGGGAGAGGGCGAGGATTAGTAATGCTTTCAAGCAGATTTTCAGGGAAGGACATTTTATTTTTCCCCTTTTCCTTTTCTTTTCTAAGGAACATAGTGGAAGGGGAGTGGTTGATAAGAAATAGAAGGGGTGATTTCTAGAGTGAGCTCTCCATGGAGAACCCCTTTTTCCTTTTCTTTTTTAAGGAACTTAGTGGAAAGGGAGTGAGTGGTTGATAAGAAATAGAGGGGGTGATTTCTAGAGTGAGCTCTCCATGGAGAAAAAAGGAAAGTGAGCCTGGAACATAGGTTAGGCAGGTAGAAGGGCACTTCTTTGATCCCTTGATTTAAGGAAAGAGGAGAGGATGGCGTAGGTACATGCGGTGTATTGGTTTTGTGGCACAACGTTGCAAGCAGCTTCTGTGTGACTTTCTTCTTTGTGAAGAAGGAACCATGATCACCTTTCAAGAATGAGGTGGTAAGGAAGGTCTGGGAGAGTGGTGAAGGTTTGAACTGGTGGCCTTGGAGATTGGCAGAGAAACTTCGCATTACTTGGTAGCGTCAAGTACTCTGATATAGTTGGAGACCAAGCATTTATAGTTTCCATCTGATTTGACTTTGTGGTTAGGTGGTTTTCTGCACCTAGGCAGACCCTTTGACTGAAGCAGGTTGGGGTAATAGGATTGGGGAACTGGAGATGCTGGTAGGAGAATAGTTGGAGGATGGGTCATGGAGTATTACCTATACAGGGGAAAGTTCCAGAGTGGCTTCTGGACTAATTTAATTTATGGAAAGACTCGCAACTAAACTGAAGCCACCCCTATAGTTCTACCTTATAATACTTAACTCTAGAGTCTTAACTCAGGTCTACGCATTTAAAAAGGGAAAAGTCAGTTATTTAGGTGTGTGGCTAAAAAGTTAAATATAGACATGGAAACTAGCTTTTTTTTTTTTTTTTTACCTAATCTCCCATTCTTCATAGTGGGTAGAACATTCTAGGCACCTTTGATGGCTATGGCTGCTGAAAATATTACCATGTATGAGCCTCCATTTTTCAGTCCTTTGGCTTATTGTTGTGGGGAAATTGCTAACTGTCGAGTTGGACATCAAACGACCATTCAAGCAGACACGCATCTGCTGCAGTAGCTCCACGTGGAGTGAGGACCTGCCCTTCCTCTTAGCAGCTCCTATGGCTGCTGTCTGTTCCCCATCTATCAGAATAAGGAGAACTTCTCACAGTTCTTCCCCAAGACAAATTACAACATGAATGAGGAGATACTTAACTTTCATGAACTCATCTACTTCAGCTTACCTAGATAAAATTTGTCAATACTGGAAATCAAACATTTCTCAAGCGGTACTGTGTTGATCAGTATAAAGCAATCCGCATATAAAGCAATCCGCTGTGTATCAAACCCTAAGCATTATATTGAGAGTAAAAGATACAATGAAATCTGCAAAAGATTTTATGGTCAAAGAAGTGGATTGGTGGGCAGACACGGATGAAAGAAGAAGGGACGCATGGAGAGATGGACCAACAGAGAAAAGCTTAAGAGAGTGAGGCTGAGATGAAGAGAAGCAGGGAGGCTCTCCCCTGAATCAAGTGAGCTGGGGTTCAGATCTCTGGTCACCTACCTGTTGATTGCATGTACTGTATTGATCAGAATAAAGCAATCCGCATATAAAGCAATCGCTGTGTATCAAGCCCTAAGCATTGTATTGAGAGTGAAAGATACAATGAAATCTGCAAAAGATTTTATGGTCAAAGAAGTGGACTGGTGGGCAGACACGGATGAAAGAAGGAGAAGGGACGCATGGAGAGATGGACCAACAGAGAAAAGCTTAAGAGAGTGAGGCCGAGATGAAGAGAAGCAGGGAGGCCTCTCCATACCCCCTGAATCAAGTGAGCTGGTGTTCAGATCTCTGGTCACCTACCTGTTGATTGCAAGAGCAGGTGTTCTCATAGTAGTAATAATGACTTGGAATTACTTGAAAAGTTAGGTGTGAACAGGCTAGTATTTGGATTGCTGTTTTCTACTAAAGAACTTATTTTGTAAGTAAAAGCTGTTTTTTGTTTGCTCTGTTTTGTCTGAATATCTTCCTGATGATTTTACTTCCTTTGTGTGAAGAAAGGAATTGGGTTTTGAAAATATCCCGAGAATGTTCAGACACTGGTTGGTATTTAACAACCGCACTTTGCATTATCATTGAGAGTTTAGTCATTTCACTTCCTCTGCCAATGTCTGAATGTTGATTGAATGATATGTTCCTGCATTTCAGCTACTTATCTTAGTGGGGAGAATGTAGGAATGTGAAGACACTACTCTTAACAGCTCTTTGTGAATAGGTATTAATCACTGTTCATTATCTCTGTTTGTCAAAGTGTATTAGAAAGAAGAAGGGACGCATGGAGAGATGGACCAACAGAGAAAAGCTTAAGAGAGTGAGGCTGAGATGAAGAGAAGCAGGGAGGCTCTCCCCTGAATCAAGTGAGCTGGGGTTCAGATCTCTGGTCACCTACCTGTTGATTGCAAGAGCAGGTGTTCTCATAGTAATAATACTGACTTGGAATTACTTGAAAAGTTAGGTGTGAACAGGCTAGTATTTGTATTGCTGTTTTCTACTAAAGAAACGTAAAAGCTGTTTTTTGTTTGTTTTGTCTGAATATCTTTCTAATGATTTTACTTTCTTTGTGTGAAGAAAGGAATTGGGTTTTGAAAATCGAGATGAAGAGAAGCAGGGAGGCCTCTCCATACCCCCTGAATCAAGTGAGCTGGTGTTCAGATCTCTGGTCACCTACCTGTTGATTGCAAGAGCAGGTGTTCTCATAGTAGTAATAATGACTTGGAATTACTTGAAAAGTTAGGTGTGAACAGGCTAGTATTTGGATTGCTGTTTTCTACTAAAGAACTTATTTTGTAAGTAAAAGCTGTTTTTTGTTTGCTCTGTTTTGTCTGAATATCTTCCTGATGATTTTACTTCCTTTGTGTGAAGAAAGGAATTGGGTTTTGAAAATATCCCGAGAATGTTCAGACACTGGTTGGTATTTAACAACCGCACTTTGCATTATCATTGAGAGTTTAGTCATTGCACTTCCTCTGCCAATGTCTGAATGTTGATTGAATGATATGTTCCTGCATTTCAGCTACTTATCTTAGTGGGGAGAATGTAGGAATGTGAAGACACTACTCTTAACAGCTCTTTGTGAATAGGTATTAATCACTGTTCATTATCTCTGTTTGTCAAAGTGTATTATTTAAAAAATGTAGTTTTAAAATGCTCAATAGGCTGACCTTATTAATTAGCGCTGGATCGATGGTGAGAATTTATTTTCTAACTTAGAGGTTGACAAATTCTGCAAAGGTAGATACTCTAGAGGCAAAATTGAAGATATTATGTAGATAGTATGGTGTATTACGTAGATATAGCAAGTGAGAAAACAAATTTCCACAAATGTTTTATTGATGAAATAATAATATTTGAATAGAATTTTTTTGTAATATAAGCTTACTACTGAGAATAATTAAATTCTTTTGATAAAGATAACATTTCATTTAGTTGGAGTTCAAAGTTAATGTTTTTTTTATCATCAAAGTTGATTGAAAATGTTCATCTGTTAGTGCTGATCTGAAATGAGATTTTATGTATTATCTTTGAAAGTATCTTTTCACACATAGGTCCTGCCAAATATTGATATCAATCCATGTACATATAATTTTGAGCATATTCGTCTCTTGGAAGGCATTTGTAGAATTCTCTTGATATTTGCTTTTTAGCATCTCATTGTCTTGTAGATTAGTCACTTCCATTTGAAGGTAAGAGCTTCTCATGACACAGTTAAATGGGTTTTGAAATATGAAAATTTCCTTTTTATTTACATCCTGGCCTAACAACACTCTGGAACTATAGTTCGTGCTTGGAAGATACATCTGCTGCACCTTTGTGTGGGAATGGGGGCCTTGTTTTGTTGGTTTGTTTTGGTCAGCACTGGCAGTATATAAAGCAGCTAGCCATTGGGAGTCACACATTAATTGTTAAAGTGATTTTTCTGCAATGGAAGTTTTACATATAAGTACCGTTTTGCCTTAAAATTTAAGTTGAATTGATTAAAAAACATTATTAAGTCTGCAGCAAAAAGCTAATGGCCAGAGCCATTTAATTTTTGATAATTGTGGTTAAGAATGGTTCTTCTCATTCAGAAAAAGTTCCATCTTGGAACTTTTATAGTAAAAATTTATAGTAAAGCATTCCCACTGTTAATCCAGGAAACTGGTGTGGTAGGGTGAGTCAAGATTTACTCAGCTCCTGTTTCTGACAAAAATATGTAGAGGACTGATGATGATGTTCATAAGAGTGAATGTAGGACATTGTTGACATTACTGGCTCAATATGCATGATAGATTCAAGTATTTTCTGCACAGTAGCTGAATACAATGAATTCTCACAGGCTTTAAACACTATTTTCAGCAGCTTTGTAAATTTGTCCAACTAAGCCTTTTTCTGTTCCATGGTTCCACACGTATTTTTATCATCATTTGTTGTAACACATCTTAGCAGATTTCACTTCTGGTTGTACTGAATTAATGCTTCTCTACTTCTATGAAAAAAATTATTGCTTGTAGTTGTCCCATGAAAACTATTCACAGTGGCTGATTTTCCAGTCTCTTTAGACTCAGCACTGACTCCTTGAATAAGCAACGACTGAGCAGCGTTGGGAACATTTGTTTACCCATCAAGAGCTAAGGACAACCACTCAGAATCATTGTGTTTAATTGACTATTGATGCTGCTCCCAATGTCACCAGCTCTGTGAGCAACTGTTCTCTCCCAAAGGCTAAAAATGTTAAGTAAGCTTGTTTTTCCGGACACTGAAGTCAAGCATGTTTTAATTAAATATCGCTAGGAAAATATGTTTCTTTACTTGACTAACAAATGAGCCACTTAGAAACTTACTTTTATTGTAGCCTCATTTTCATTTTTAATTTTGTAAAGAAATTCTGTTGTGATGAAATACTTGTCTTAACTTTTAAAATATTTCTGACCTTTGCTCTTGTGTGAGCTGATAATATTGTGATGAGTGCTTAACCTGGTAATATTGATACTTACTATATTCTTTTAGTATAGTGTCCACTGCTTAAAAACACCATCCATCCCCTAGCTGGTTTGGTTCAGTGGATAGAGCGTCGGCCTGCAGACTGGAGAGTCCCGGGTTTGATTCCAGTCAAGGGTTGGGGGCTCGCTCTCCAGTGTGGTGCGTGCAGGAGGCAGATCAATGATTTTCTCTCATCATTGATGTTTCTATCTTTCTCTCTCCTGCTCCCTTCTCAAAAATCAATAAAAATGTACTTAAAAAACAACAAAACAAAAACATGATCCTTTGTCATTTAATTTGATAATTAAATAACCCATTCTCTACTGTGTCTTAAAAGGGCAACATTCAAAATTCACTTCTTGTCTTTACATGATGGGTATAAACTGATTAAACATAAATATCGCAGTGAGACCATGGCCCTGCAAAACTGTTGAGGTATAATCAAGAGACCGTGAGCTGTGGTGAGCTGAGCAGCGATGCAAAGTGATGAGAGCGCCATCTATGGTCTCCGTTGCTCAACTGTGCTGTAGTAGCGCGAAAGCCAGTAGTCAAGGGAGTGACCATGACAGTGTCTCAATCGCACTTAATTTATAGACACTAAAATTGGAATTTTACATGATTTTTATTATTTTTATTTTTATTTGATATTTTTCAACCATTGAAAAATATACAAACCGTTCTTAGCTTTAGGGCTGTGCAAACACAGGAGTTGGGTCAGATTTGGCCCACACAATTTAGGTTGCTGACCCTATGCTAATGGGTCATATATGTTGAGTTGGAACCAAATATATTGTTGGTTATCAATGGTTTCAGATAGTATACTTAGGAGTTTCTCATCCACCTCTGCAATCAAGTTTTGGTTGTTTGAAGACCCATCCAGCTATGCTTAATAAGATTTCATCTGAAAAAATTACTGCAATCTTATTTGTTGCTTCAAGAAGAACAGAGAAAGTGACTTGGTTTTGTACATATTGTGTTTCTCTAAATTAGCAGTTAAGGAAGATTCCTTTTTATTTTATATTTCAGGAAATATTTGTAAAAGCCAGATTATTAACAGTGGCTGTGATAATTTATTTTTGTAAGTTTTTGAAATTTAGGTAGATATAAACTTAATTATCCTGGGACATTTCAGAGTGATACAGTTAATCCCCTGCAATTGATCTGACTCTAACATGACTTACTTTTTTTTCTGAATATTCAGCAACAGCTGGCCTTACAGCTGGAGTTAGAAATGCAAGAGAAAGAGAGGCAGAGAATAGAACAACAGAGAGCTCAAGAACAATTAGAGAAGGTAATTTGAAGTTTCATAATTGTCTGTTTTATTTAAAACCTCTTAGAATCCCCAAGCTGTTCTTTCTCAATGCTATATCATGGGATTCATAGTCTAAAGACCTGCCACACAGCTGTGCGACTTAAGCAAATCTTAGAACCCTCTTCATCTCAGTTTACCTTTTGGAAAAATAAAGATAACAGTATGTTATTTTTAGCAATATCTTACTGGATCATTTTAAGATCAAATAAGATTGTGTGTGCAAAACTGCCTTGTGAGCTGTTTTATAATAGTGATATTAATAATATTGTAATAGTGATATAAGAGTTGGTTGTTTCTTATTATAGTGGTTGATGTTGAAGGTCAGGCTCTTTGTAATATCAAGAATATACTGACCTCTAACATAGTAATGCATCTCTCTTGTTTTTGTTAGATGTATTATCAATGATAATTTACATTTAAATGTTATTACTATGGATGTTTTTCATGTCTTTTAGTAAATAAACTATGCAGTAGCTTAAATAAAAAAGTTCATCTCTGGTTACTGTATTCATATAAAATGTTAAGCCTCTAGTTTGGCCAGTGTCCTCTGGTATCCCCAAAGTATGTGTTATAGAGACCAAACTTCTGAGTGACTGAATTACACTTTTTAACTGGATATTTCATATTGTATGCATATAGCTCATATCTGTGATGTAAATGTTACTCTCCTATTCCATAATAATAATAATAATAATAATAATAATAATAATAATAAAACAGAAGCAGGTTTTATAGAATATCTACATTAGCAGCTTAGATGAGAGCATCATTACTTAAAGCAAGTTTTAAAAAGTTGGACGATGAATTGAATAAAAAAAAGATGAGTTTTAAAAAGGGTAAACCAAAGCCTTATACATAATTTTAAAATATATAAATGCTGATGCTTAGTCTGAGTATAATAGGGCACACTGATATGCATGCACACATACACATATGTCCAAGACTGGGCCATGGATCAAACCTACAACCCAAGTATGTGACCTTGACCAAGAATTGAGCCTGAACTCTAACCACTTAACAACACTGGCCAGGACTTAACTTTTATTGCACTTATATGCACTTTTTAAAATTCATGTTTTGGGGGTTTTGTCTTTTAATATATTAATAAAACATTATCAATTCTTACAACATATTCAACCTAATTGTCTTTTAAAATACTTTCATGTTTTTAATTTAGATTTTTCAAAGTAATTTTCTTCAAGTAAAGTCAATAATCAAACTGAAAATTTAAAAGTCAGGTAAAGTATAATTTTACCAATCAAAACATCAACAGAAAAAAATTTAAATGAGGATAGTTTAAGGGGCCTCTGGACAACATCAAGCATAACAGCATTTGTATCATAGGGACCAGAAGCAGGAGAGAGAGAGCAAGGGATTGAAAACCCATTTGAAAAAAATAAGAACTAAAAACTTTCCTAACTTGGCAAAAGGAATAGACATATAAGTCCAGGAAGCACAGAGTCCCAAACAAGATGAACCCAAAGAGACCCACACCAGGACACATCATAATGAAAATGCCAAAGGTTTAAGACAAAGAGAGAATCTTAAAAGCAGCAAGAGAAAAGCAGTTAGTTACCTATAAGGCAGTTAGTTACCATAAGATGGTCAGCTGATTTCTCAACAGAAACTTTGTAGGCCGGAAGGAATTGGCCAGGAAATACTCAAAGTGCTGAAAAGCAAGGACCTAAACCAGTGATAGCAAACCTTTTGAGCTCGGCGTGCCAGCATTTTGAAAAACCCTAACGTAACTCAGGTGCCGTGTCACATATAGAAATTTTTTGATATTTACAACCATAGTAAAACAAAGACTTATATTTTTGATATTTATTTTATATATTTAAATGCCATTTAACAAAAAAAAATCAACCAAAAAAATGAGTTCGCGTGTCAGAGGTTTGCCATCACCGACCTAAACCAAGGTTACTCTCCTCAGCAGGGCTGTCATTCACTAGTACAGTTACATTGAATAATAAAAACAATTCTAGTTTATAACTTGTACATTGATGATGTTGCTGAAATGATATCTTAAGTGCTAAATATGAACCTATTGCTTAACTTATCTCCACCATTGCTAATATTTTTGGCCTTTTAATCTGATGATTAAATACTTTTTTCAGCCTGGCCAACATGGCTCAGAGGTTGAGAGTCAAATCTATGAACCAGGAGGTCATGGTTCCATTCCCTGTCAGGGCACATGTCTGGGTTGCAGCATTCCCAGTAGGAGGTGTGCAGGAGGTAGCCAATCAATGATTCTCTCATTATCGATTTCTATCTCTCTCTCCCTGTCCCTTCCTCTCTGAAAGCAATAAAAAAATATTTTTAAAAGAAACATCAAATGAAAGAGACATGTAATTCCAGCTCTTCTCTGAAATCAATAAAATCTATATTTTTAAAAAAACAATTAAAAAACACTCCCCCCCCCGCCATGGAGCCCAGAGAAGGGCTTTTGAATCAGAGGACTCTGAAGTATAAGTTAGTGCGAGAGAAGTTATCAGGTGGGAGGTGTGCAGTGAAACTAAGCTAATGGTGGTTGGCAGGTGCAATTTTGTAAGTCCCAGAAATGCTCCCCTCCTCCAAAATGTGTCCCATGTGGCCACACTAGCTGGAGTGGCATCAGCTAGATTTTCATTTGAATTAACACTGGCCAGTGTGGCTTAGTTGCTTGGGCATTGCCCAGTGCACTGAAAGGCTGTTGGTACGATTCCCAGTCAGGGCACATTCATGGGTTGCGGACTTGATCCCTGGTAGAGTGTATTCAGGAGGCAGCCGATCGATGTTCTTCTCATATCAATGTTTTACTCTCTCTCCCTCTTACTTCCTCTGTCTCTAAAAATCAATAAAAAACCTTTAAAAACACACAGAAGAAGTTAAAAAAGAATATCAAGAAGACAGTGATCAAAATGATCAGAGAATTGAAAGTATTTTGATCAAGATGCTATTGTCAAGCAATGGTCATTTGCAGCAATTCAATACCAACAAGAATCCCCAATTTGGGTCGCAGTGAAAAAGGGAAGTTCATTCAGTGCAAAACAGCTCAGCTGTGATTCCGCACGGATGTGAAAACAGCACAGCTCTAGAGCAGGTGTGGGGCCAGCCTCTCTTCAGCTAGACAGCTGTGCATCCTCTGCCTCACTCTGCTCTGGCTTACACCTTTCAGTGTTTCAGCTCAGACACAGAGGTGCATGGGTGGAAAGGCTTTCCCAGACAGAGGGGAGCTGGCTTATTCAGACAGAAGTCCCCGCCCCTGGTCCCTGACTGGACTGTCCTTGTGCAAATGAGGACTCCAAATCCTCATAGTTTAATTGGTCCAAAAGGCACTGTCCTGATTGGTTAGACTAAAGTTTCTCTGATTGGTTGGGACTGCACTGCTCCATGGCATAGGGAAAGCCTTAGTCCTATTGGTTGAAATAAAATTCCAGGAAACTCTTATAAGGGCTGGCTCAGATAGCAGGAACACAGTGCAGGGAGGCAGCTGAGTGCAGAGGCACACAGTTCAGCATGAGCTTCTCCATGAAGTGCAGTTTGCATGAGAGGCCCCAGAAATGGCTTCTAGGCTCTGTTTTTAAAAATTTGAGCCCAGTGAGCCACCAGAAGCCCTTCTTACTTGGTGTCTTTTTTCTCAGGGCTCACACTATATTTGACTTATTGAAAGTCTATGATTTATAGGAAGGTTTCCAATCCGTTTTGTGGCTCCATAAGGGCTACTCTCATTATTTAGTATCTGCAGGCATCATCAGACCTGGTGACCAGGGCCACAATAACTTCAATAATCCATATTTCTACTGCTTATCACCCCTCCCCTCTCTCATGCAAAGCACCCCTGCCTTACCCATTGCTTGGAGATGAGTCCTTTTGTCTTTTCACCCTGGCCTTCTGGCGGCTGCAGGGATACAACTTAAACTGTCATTTGCAAAAGGACATTTATTGGAAGGATCCTGGGTTGAAGGAAGGGTTTTGCAACTGAACTCTGAGGGGCTCTGGTACTATTGGGCCTTCCAGACTCTTGGTAGCCCGAGAGTCACATGCTACCTGGGTTCTCACTTCTGCTGTCCTCTGGCCCTCGGCTTCAGGCTCTCTCACTGGCCTGGTTTGCTGCGCATCGGGGAGGCACCTGGTCCATAAAGGCTCTCAGGTCTCATTATGTTGTAGCTCCTACCCTCTTAGAAGAGTGGATTCCTTTTTTGGTTTCAGTTGAGAAAAGCATCTTGGGGAAGGAGTCTGACTGGCTCCATTTGTGTCAAGTATTCATCCCCTGGCTGCGGGCAAGGTCCTATGAGAACATGGACTTTCCCACTATAGCCAGGTGGCGGGCTAAGGTGTTACAGGAGGATGGAATGGCCTTAAGAAATGTACCAGATGTGTCCCCTATAATTGCGGGTCATGAGATTGCTGAACTTTGAACAGCCAAGATGAATCAGCTCAGGATCAGCTGGCTTAGAATACAGAGGCCATTGCTAGGCCTGGTTGGTTAGAAGCAGGCCGCCCATGTGTTCAGAGCACTACAGAGCGCATTGCTCGGGCTGTAAGAGGATGCTCACCTTGGATAGTGACTTGGGCCACATTAATTCCTTCAGAAATATTCACCTCTTTCTTACTATGTGTACAATTCTACTTAACGGCAAGTTCTCTCTAAAATCTCCTCTTCTAAGAGCTTATTACACTTTTTTGTTTTGTCACTTTTTATATCTGCTAATGATCTGGCTTCAGGCTTAATGCTCAGCCCATTTCATTTTTTAAAAAATTATATTTATCCCAAGAAACCAGAAACGCCAATCAGAAAGGATATATGCACCCCTATGTTCATAGCAGCCCAATCCACCATAGCTAAGATTTGGAAACAGCCTAAGTGCCCATCAGCAGATGAGTGGATTAGAAAACTGTGGTACATCTACACGATGGAATGCTATGGTGCGGTAAAAATGAAGGAACTCGTGCCTTTTGCAACAGCATGGATGGAACTGGAGAGCATTATGTTAAATGAAATAAGCCAGTCAGAGAAACAGCGATCTCACATGATCTCACTCATTTGTGGATTATAAAGAACAACATAGACTGATGAACAGGGACAGATCCAAAGACAGAGAAACAGCGATCAGGCTATCAATCCCCAGAGGGAATGTAGGGGAGGGAGGGAGTAAGGGGAAGAGATCAACCAAAGGACTTGAATGCATGCAGATAAGCCAAACCAATGGACACGGACAACAGGGGGATGAGAACATGAGTTGGGGGGAGGGGTAATGGGGGGGGATAAGGACACATTTGTAATACCTTAACTAATAAAGAATTAAAAACAATTATATTTAATTGTAAACAAAAGATTGTCATCTTCTATTAGTATAGAGTATTAGATGAACCTGCTGGCAGTTTTGTGTTAATTGCGTTCAAAACATTTCTTTAAGAGTGATACCCTCTTCACTGTTAAATTGATCATAGCATTTTGTAAAAGTAAAAATTCTTGAAGAGTAAATGTGTAATCAAAATGAAAAACATATTCAAAGTATTTTTCTTTTTTTATGTGTTACAGGAGATGAGAATGCATATGGAAAATCTAGCCAAGGGTGAAGGCGGTTCACTTTCAGAGGTGAGAGAAAAAGTTATTCTATGTTCTGTGAAATAAACGAATGTCCTGGAATTTAAAGCTTAATTCTGATGCATTAGTAGCTAAATGTTTAACAAGGAGATTATCAAAATTGATAGGCCAGATATAAATTCTAGTAATAACAAGCCACAGATATGGTGTGCTTAAATTTTATAGCAAAAATCTCAAAGTGGATAAAAATTGTACATTCAGTTTGTGTTTCTAAAAACCAGAATAATGCGAGACATTGACCCTGTGATTACTTGCAGTGGCATACTTGAAATTTCTGAATATATTTCTATGCAAGTTTAGCATCTATTCCTAGAATTCTCTTGTCATTAACAGATCTTGGTTCATTTCATTAATTAAAAATGCTGAATTTTGATGGTGTAATTCAGAAGTTTCTGCCCAGATGTATTCATTTTGAAACCCTTTAAAAGTAAAAATGCATTTTTGGTTGCAGGAGGCGGCCGCAGCAGCAGCAGCAGAAGCAGCAGCCAAGACGCTAGCGGAGATCAGTGACCGCTATGGGGCGCCTAACTTGAGCCGAGTAGAAGAACTTGATGAGCCCGTACTATCGGATGTAAGTATCCTCATGGGAGGGTTTGGTGAAAGCCACATTTTTTCACTGTGGGAAGCCTTGTGCATATGAAACCAGGACTGGCTGGCAAATCGGTCTTTTGCTCCATAGAAAGAAAACCAGTTCCCTAATAGGGTGCTGACTGTACCCCTAGTTGGCCCTCTGCCCTTTTGTGAACGCGTGCAGCTGGCCACCAGGCGAGGGTGGGCATGCGTCTGGCTCCTTCCAGAGGTGTCAGCCCTGATGGAAGCTTGTGCTGAGGTAACAGTGTGCCTGCTGTGCACCGTTATGTTGAATTTGGATTTTATTTGAAATAATTTGAAATTATGAAAAAGCTTCATTTACATAGTCACATGGAAATTTCCTGAACTCCATTTTCTTTGACTCATATACTTTCGCTGTTCTACTTGTATTAAAGCAATTTTTTTTTAAATTTTGCTTTTAGGTTGCCTTAAACATTGATCAAGATTTGTAGGATCAACCAAGCTAAGAGTAATAAATTTTTCTGCTTGTTTCAAGTTTCAAAATACGAAGTATCCAACTGTAGTTTTTGCTTTCAAACTTGAACTGCCTCCCCCTCCCCCCTCAAGACAGCTCTATAAGCGGTGGTCTCAAAATACTCCTTTGGAGCCGCTATGCAACTGGTCATTCATATGATTCCATTGAGAGAACAGGATAAATTCCCCAAACAACCAAAAGAGGCAAATGAGAGAGAAACTGAGAGAATGTGAGGAGGAGATTGCCCGCGAGGAAAGTCATCGTGAATAAAGGAAGGGGCTGCTGCTCTCACTTGACCCTGGGTGAGGCTCTGGAAGATCCAGCAGGCTTTGAGGTGGCATTGCCTCCTGGGAGCAAACTGCAGAGATTCCCTCAGTTCACTTGCTCAGAAGTGATGCTTCGTAGTACCACTGACTCAGGATCAATGGTGGGGCTGGGATGGGCAAGGACACAGAGAAGTATCATTTCTTCTGCAACAACCAGTGGGCGACTGCGCCGGATACAGGCCATGCGGGTGCCTCCTGGACAGGAGGGTGGCCTGTGGACCCTCTCTGCACTCCCGGCCTTGGGAACTTCCGGTCTAGCCTTGAACTTTAGGGAGAACTTTGCTTCCTGTGTAGAAATCTCCCAGGTCTGCAGTCTGTCTTTTCTGTCCCTTAAGAAAGGGTGTAGGCATGGAGACACATGCCAGGACAAGGCTCCTTTTTTTCTTTCGGGTTAAAGTCTGACCATCTCAAATCTTCTAAGGAGGTAGACACGTGGGAGTTCACGTACATTGCTGTCAGGGCTATGAATCGGTAAAACCATTTAGGAAAGGAGTTAGGTATTACCTAGAAACGTTGATCATGAACACATTTGACATGGACAGTCTGGAGAAACTCTTACATGTGTGCACAGAAAGACACCTAGGAAATACTCATAGGAGCATTGTTCCTAAGGGCCAACACCTAAGAGCCAACATCTAAGCCTTTATTAACAGAAGTGTGGATAATTAAACGGTGCTACACTCATACTAGCAGCAGTATCATGATTGAACCTCAAAAAGAGAAAAGCTGAATAGGAAAAAATAGTTACTATATTATTCTATTTATAAAAAGTGAAAAAATACGGGAAAGCTAAATATTTTGCCTGGGGATACGTTTATGTGCTCAAAGAATCATTAACACAAAATTCAGAATAATGGTTCCCTCTAGGGTGAGGGGATACATAATGAGTGTGGAGCTATTAATAATACTCTATTTCTCAGGCTAGGGAGTAAGAACAGAGGTAACAATTTTATTATTCTTTAATGCCCATGATTTTTGTTTGCCTGAAAAAAAGATCTTGAGAACAAAGAAAACATGCTTCATTTTAAGGAAATTAATGTACTCATCCTGCAAGGCTAATGGGAGATTTATTCTTGGTGTAATAAGGGTTCTCCAATGTGAGAATTATAAAACCGTTTGCTTTCCCCTAACTTGAGGGTTATGCAAGGATCCTGAGGTTCTACATGAGCCAGGCCAATAGGAAGGCCCCTCTGGTCACCACCCACTGTCCACATTGGTGCACTCGATGGACATAGATTGTGTACCTGGTACACACCAAGAACTATACTAGCTTCTCAGGGGAACTTATGCACAAAGCATGGTTTCTACTCTCAAGTCACTCACAGTTTAGTGGGGGATAGAAAGAAACCAATGGTGAGTGTGACACCTCCCATAGGTTGACATGGAAACTGTATGGATGTAAAGGACATAGGGAGAGCCTGGGATCTGGAGCAACGAGGGGGCCATATATGGCTTAGAAAGATCCTGCAGAGGCACAGGTCTGAGGGACACTGGTTAGCTGTACTGCAGGCTGTACGGGAGAAGCTCAGAGCTGCTTGCTGCTGCTCTCACTGACCCAGAGAG